TGGCATTGCCAGTTACGAGATGGCCGCTAAGTCAGCAGATATAGCGACTAAAACCATCTTGCATCCAACAATCACCAACATACAGGCCAACGACATAAATATATACATTAGAAATAAAATAAATATGACATGGCAAAGTTATTGGGATTCCGTGCCAGGGCCGTCCTTAGGGCAGGGCGAGCGGGGCCCTTGCCCCGGGCCCCGAGCTTTCGACATAGTTGGACAGGCCCCGCTTTTATAGATCCAATAATAAAGTCAAGTAAATGAGCAAAAAAATTGTATCATTTACCTATATATTTTTAAACCTCCAACTGTTGTAATTTTTACTACCTAAACCTACTTATATTAATTGACGTCAAATAAATGTATCGTATTTTAAACGAGTTAATATGGTTAAAATTAAATTTTCAAAGTTGAAAATTATAAAAATAAATATCTTCGAAGCGCACTGTCTGAAAACTAGGCAACAAATTAGCTATAATATCTATAGAAAAAAATGCTGACTAACTAAAATGTATATTTGTATTTAAATTTTTATTGACACATTTGATATTTTAAGACGTAGGAAGGTTAATTTATAATATATAAAATTTTTAGCAGAGCGAAAAATGTATTAATTTTATAATGATGTGTGTTTTTTTTCTGTTTTGGAAGCGACATTTTGTGTAGTAAAAGTGCTCCGATTTTCGATATCAGCATCATATATAGGTACTGATAGAAAAGTGAAATTATTTGGTATTTTTGAGAATTAAAAATTAAAAATTTCAAGTATATTTACTTTTAAAAACAAAAAAGAGGTAACTTTTATACAAAACCAATTTTTGAAAAAGATTTTATTTTTTTGGTTAACTCAAAAATGAATGACTGTAGAACCTGGACATTTTCAACAAATAATTATATAAATATTTTCCTTAAAACATTTTTACAATATTTTGACTATTTTTGATAGAAAATAAATAACAATAATTGTTGTAAGTACAAGGTAATACATTTTTAAGTATATTTGAGCGTTGCCAAACTTACCTAAGTATATAGGTATTAATGTATTATGATAATATTAAATATATGCCACTGCCAACAATGAGTAATGACATTTTAGGCCCCACAATTTTACTCTGCCCTGGGCCCCGCAAATCGTCGGGACGGCCCTGATTCCGTCCCACCTTTCAACGAATTAAAAAAAAATCAAAAAGTGGCATTATCTTCATAATTTAAACAGACGAAAACAAGTCACTCTACCCAGAGTGAGAATTTGACATTCATTTTTGACCCATTCATTCTTAATCAGCAAAGATCCAACACCCATATGTAATAAATAGCAAGAAGAACTAACCATCCAACACATCATCCTAAACTTCCCAGATCTTCAAAACATCCGAAATACCTTATCAATACCCAACAACTAAGGTGAAGCTGTCCACGAAAACAACACCATAAACATTTTAAACTTCCTTACACAAATTAACATTGTAAACAATCTTTGACTAAGATGTGGGTATTCATATTTCAAAACTATTGTAACCTTTGAAATTTAATTATTAATGTAACTCACACAAGGCTAATAAACACTGATATTGAAGCCTCATTTTTCTCTTTTTATTCTTTCAAAAAAAAAAAAAAAAATTCTTTGATTAAGTTCAATCTCATGTTGCTAAAATCAGTGCAGTAACTTCAGATAATATTTAAATAAACTAAAATTAAACTAGAATAGTTAGTGGAATAATGAGTAGACTTATGAGAAAATAACCAAACGCTCACCAATTTAAAACTAGTCAATCTGCATCGCATGTATCAATACTCTTTTTTGAGGTTTGATATAATATTATAATTTACATTTCATAAAAAAATAGACAGTATTATATATATTATATAACTATTAACTACTTTAGGTACTAGATATATTAAAAAAAACTCAAACATTTTCATTATTTCAAATTTTAATTTAGATATCATAAATAGAAATAAATAATTTCTTTACATTGTTCTCAAATTATAGAAAACAATTTTTCTCTTATTTTTCAGCTTTTGAAATCAAATTTGTGTAGACTATCCTGTTACAAAAATAGCAAAGAAGATTACGAATGTGTAAGTTTATTGTAGTATACTACTATTAGTATTATTTGTTAAATGGATTATTGTTAATTATTATGTACTTACATGGTTAGGATAACATATCTGATACAATATATAGTTTATATTAAAAAAAAATTTAATGTTTAGTAGAATTTAGCTTAGAACCTAAGTACCTATAATAATGGGTTGTATCATTGATTGTAAATACTATGATACAAAGATATTTTCAATGTAAGGGGTTATATAAAAAAAAATTAAATCAGTGTTTGTTTATGTACCTACATGTATATATCAAAATGTTTTTAATTTGTATACATCTATACATAGGTATAGTAAAAAAATACCAAGAGGAGAGGTTGAACACCTTATGTAAGCCACTGGTTGTGTTCTCAAATGTAGGTATAAGGTACCCAGTCAATATTTTTTTTAAACTTATGTCATATTTTACAATATAAACAAAATTGATTCAGATCTAGGTATTTGGAATAAATACTCGAATACTTATGAAAAATTGTACTCAGAATATTTATTTGAATACTTCATACAACTTTATAAAAATAATTTTTAGTTTTTGTTTTAAATATTAAACCAACAATACTTTTCTTCGAGAAAATTTGAAATTAGTGCTTATATGTATACTTTAATAGTTTTAAATGTAATATAATTTAAGTTGTTGATAACTGATTTAAAATTTTAAAATGTATATAATATTGTAAAAACTACCAGAAAAACAAGAAAAACAATCATTACTGTAAATTTAAAGGATTTTTTTTAAGGAATAAAATACTTTTTAAAAATATTTAAAATAGTTATTCAGAATACTTTTGTTTAAAGTGTTTTAAAAGTATTCGGAATACTACCGAAGACTGAAAATTGTGAACAATATTATAAAATTGAATCTATCATCTATTATGTATGCACTAAAATTATAATTCTTTAGTTTCCTGAGAAAATGTAGGTGGCCCCCCAGGTCCAGGTCTTAGAAGAACGGGTGGCTACTAATTGCGTCCAGCGGTAAAAATTTCTTCCGAGTTTTTTTGGGGTGCATACAAAGTGTGGCCCGAAATTTAAAAAGCTTAATTTTCCTTCACAGTTTTTTACAGACTTAGGACTGTCTGTAGCATCAGTAGATACTGCAGGTAGGTTAAAAATTATGTTTTGTTTTTATTAAAAAATTTCGACACTGGTAGAAACGTTTATGATATTTAATGAAGTTAAAAATGTTAGTATAATTTAGTAAAATTCTTAGATATTATGGCACTGGTAAAAACTTGTATGATAGTATTTGTATAAATTCAAATTTGTCAATTGGGTTTTCTTCTAAACGTTTCATAGCATTTCTAATAAATGTTTCTTTTTCAATTATATTTGTTCTGCGAGTATTTAAGTGAGTGCTTCTTAATTTTATATAGGTATCCTTCTGTAGATTTTTCAGAACAACGATGAATACAAAAATATTAGGATGAGCACTGTAGAACAAAGCGTTGAATTTAAAATGAAAAGCCTCACAACTATTAGTAGTGCGCATAGTAGACGCCGAGTATTCTGCCCATAAAAAAGGAGGGAAATCGGACTTGTTTGAAATGTATAAAAATTGTATCAACTTTACTCAAAAATTTTAAGTTAGTTTCAGTAGAAAATAATAAAATGTTTGATGTGTTGTCATTTACAAGTAAAAAATTTTCGTTACGATTTGTAACTAATAAATGACTCATATTATTTAGACTTTAGAGAGATGTGTAATTCATTCAAGTCCACATAGTCCAGTCAAATTAGATCAAAAATCAACAAAGATCGGAAAAAATTCGCCCCCAACTGAATTTTGGTACACACTTAAAATGTACCTTCCCAATTGACATACTAAAAGTCCTGACGCCTAACCCCTGTGCGTATCTCTCCGCCCCCCAAAAAGGGGTGAAATCTACCCTCCCACTATTTTTCTTATAACTCGTTAACCATTGAACTCACGACAAAAAAGTAAGGACCAAAATTAAAGACCGTAAAATGTACTATAAGAATATAATATTGTAATCACTACAATTGTAACGTAGTAGTTTTAAGTAAACTTTTTTTTAAAAAAAACTGAATTTTTTTTTAATTTTTTTTAAATTTTTTTTAGCCAAAATATATAGTTTTTAAAACCAAAATGACCTATAAGAAAAATGATAGCCCTTTGTTTTTACATAATATACTTTTTTTATTTTTTTTTATATTCATTACCATAAGATTTAAGGTGGTTGTTATGTACGATGCGGCGGTGTTATATCTGTACGGTTGATAATACGAACCAAGTTCGAACATAATGTAAAAATTCACCGAAAGCTGAATATTGGCATACACCTACTATATACTTCATTAATGATCATACTTAAAGTTCTGACGCTTACCCTTCTAACCCCCCCTGCCTTCAAAAGGGTGGTTTTACAATGTTTTTACTTATAAATCACTATCCTTGGAACTGACGACCAAAATATATAGAACTAAAATTAAAGACTATTACATTTACCATAATATTATAATTTTTTGCATACTTAAATGTTTACAAGATAAGTTCAGTTATAAATACAACTTTTATGAAATGTCTTTACAGTTACAATATGTTTATTTACAATATTATTATTTATTAGATTATTATACTAGTAGGTACTAGGTACTACTTAATTCTAGAATTTTTACAGAAAACATTAAAAAAAATTTACAATACCATATTATTTACACTAAGTACCAACATTTTTATTTTATTTGGTTCCTGGTAAATGTTGTTTTGCCTGTAACCAAAAAAAAAGTTGAACGTTATTTAGTATTATAGTTTACAATTATTATATATATAAATTTAAAGTAAATTCATACCTAATTAATTAAGTGGTGCAGTTTTGCACAGCGGTCTTTTTGCATATGTGTGTCTATATATCCATTTCTTCATCTGGTTATTCGTTGTCTTCGTCTATGCTAGTGGTCCATTGTCCATCTTTATACAACTCCACGTCGTCGTCGTCGTCGTCATCATCACAAATTAGTTGCTGGTTTAAACACGATGTGCCTTGACAATTTTTACATATTATGGAACATCGCATTCCCGCTTTTTTACATCCACAATTTTTCTCGCATGATTTAGTGCAAGCACAACTTATAACCGATAGAAGGGAGTCTGTTGCTGGTGGTTTCTTTGTAAAGATCGGTATTATTTTTTTATCTACTTTTTCCCAGCCCCAGTCTAACGGATTAAGTATTTTCCCACGCCAAAGTTGTACTTGTAAATAAACCCTAAACAAATTCTGCTTTGCTGAATCGACTGTTGGAGAGAGTCGAGAAAGTTTGACTTCTTTTTTGCTGGAAGCCCCTGTTTTTCGGAATACATCATACCTGTGACAATTCAATGTATTAGTGTTTGCTGGTGCTTTAAATAATTTTAACAAGTACTTTTCTCCCGCACGCAAAATTTCCTCATGTGTAGCTGATTCATTGTTAAAAACTAATAATGAATCGTGTAGTTCTGGATGTGCTTGAACTGTTTTTAAATGTTTAATTTTCCCTTGTTGAAAGATAGCTGACGTTGTATCACACTCACCAATTGCATGTACAAACAAAAAATAAGGAAGTTCAACTTTAAATTGTAGCCGTAAATGTTTTATAGAGTATGATCTAGTTTCCGTACTTCCTTTGCCTGGTTTTTTAAAAAATAATCTGCGAATCATCTGGAGTTAACGTCAATAAAAGTATGATCAAATCTACGTCCTCTCCAATGACCACAACTTATGTGTTATAATTTGATTTTTGTATTGCCGTATGTACAATAAGTGTGTCAGCATCGTCTTCTGCTTGTAATACGTAAATACCAGACTTCAATAATTTCCCTGTCAACATTGATATCAGCCTCAACTTATTTTTGTCATTTGATAGAAATGATTCTTGCGAAATAGTTATGTCCATCGTCTCTTCGATCAATATCCAAGGATAGTGATTTATAAGTAAAAGCATTGAAAAACCACCCCTTTGAAGGTGGGGGGGGGGTTAGAAGGGTAAGCACGAAGGTTAAGCGTCAGAACTTTAAGTATGATCATTAATGAAGTATATAGTAGGTGTATGCCAATATTCAGCTTTCGGTGAATTTTTACATTATGTTCGAACTTGGTTCGTATTATCAACCGTACAGATATAACACCGCCGCATCGTACATAACAACCACCTTAAATCTTATGGTAATGAATAAAAAAAAAAATAAAAAAAAGTATATTATGTAAAAACAAAGGGCTATCATTTTTCTTATAGGTCATTTTGGTTTAAAACTATATATTTTGGCTAAAAAAAAATTTAAAAAAAAATTAAAAAAAAAATTCAGTTTTTTTTAAAAAAAAGTTTACTTAAAACTACTACGTTACAATTGTAGTGATTACAATATTATATTCTTATAGTACATTTTACGGTCTTTAATTTTGGTCCTTACTTTTTTGTCGTGAGTTCAATGGTTAACGAGTTATAAGAAAAATAGTGGGAGGGTAGATTTCACCCCTTTTTGGGGGGTGGAGAGATACGCACAGGGGTTAGGCGTCAGGACTTTTAGTATGTCAATTGGGAAGGTACATTTTAAGTGTGTACCAAAATTCAGTTGGGGGCGAATTTTTTCCGATCTTTTTCCTAATTTGACCGGACTAACAGGTAACTTTGGCATAATAGATGATCGAGCATGGTGAATATTTTTTCTTATTAATGTTAAATCGTATGTTGTCAAAGTGTTTACGTCTTGTGTAAGGTGTCTATGAATAATTTTACTTGGCTTCTTATTAATATCATCAACCGCTTTACGTTTCACTTGATTACTTACAGTCTGCCTATTTAATGTTTCAACACTATCTTTCTCGTGGTTTTCATGATTTAAAACTTTTTTAATAATTACGTTATTATTTAAATTTTTATGGAAACGAAATTTATATCCATCGATTACATATATACTACGATTTTTTTCACTTAACATTTCACTCAAAATCTCAACATTCGAAAATTATAAATAAATTAAAATAGAACAGCACAGAAAAGCGACGGAACGTTCTTAGCGGTAGTAAAGCGGAGACTAAGGTATACTTATTGATATCTACATTATATTGTGATTATATTTTATCAGTTAAGATTAAATTATCTAGAGTTAGAAAACCCGGGCCGCAACTCGTCTGTACCCAAAATAAACTCTGGCCGCAATTAGGATTAGACCTTGTTTCGTTGATATCTTTGGGACGCAACTAGTATGCAGTCAGAAGAACTATACTCTTTTTCACGAGAGAAAGGTAGCGGCGGCCGACCAAAACGGGTCCGCCGCCGCGCATCCCCCACCAACTATCAGTGGTAAGCGTGATCACGTGGTCGTTCACGCACCAATCGAATCATTTTACATGCGCGAAACGGTACCGTTCTCTCGTGAAATAGAGTATAGGTGGGTACACTAATTTAATAGTCCCACAAGTTTTCTATTTTTATTACTAGAAGATAAATTTATAATCGATAAATAATAAACGACTTATCCATAGTAGATCATATAACTTATTATGTGAATTTATATATTTAACGTTTACATAAGATTTGTTTTAATCCTAAATCCTAAGATATGCCACGAGGTACGAGTCACGAGTCAATAATAATTTATATTGTCTTCGTCTTACAAGTGCTTACCATACCTACCATGGTCAATTTAAGCTCAGCGGATCACCTTTATTCTTTAGGTCTGTTAGTTACAACCTTAAGAGTGAATTAACCTATTATGAAACTTAATGGTAAGAACATTATTTGTGTTTGTATGTGAGTTTTTTACGATAGTTCAATTTTTAAGTGAGTTATAAGCATGTTTAATTAACGCATTATTATATACGCAAAACTTGCTAAAAAAATTGAACCATCTTAAAAAACCTACGTACCATACACATAATGTTCTTATCATCAAGTTTTAAAATGGGTCGATTCATTATAGTTTTTATGCTGAGGAAGCTAAACGCGATCTGCTGAGTGTAAATTCCCATGTTACGCACTTGTAAGACGGGACAACAAATGTACGTGCTACGTCCTTTTAATACAGGCATGTCAAACTCAAAGTATAAACTGGGCCAAATATATTTAATAGTTAACTAGGTATGTCGAACACACAAATTTAACAAAAAAAAAAAAAATTATGTTTACACATTTTTCATTCTATCCATTACTTACAATACTATACAATACTTATTCAATTACAGCTTATTAGAAGATAAGACTGCAGAAAAGTATACCTCTCGGCTCATAGTTGTGACATGAAAGGAAAATATGTATAATTTTTTTTTCAATCAATTGTTCATTAATGTTGTTGTTATACAAGGGTCATAAAAAACGAGCAGAGGGTCTCATGGGATCTACGGGCCGAGTGTTTGACATGCCTGTCTTAATATGTTATAGGTACAATTAATAAAATTTACTTCGGTTAGGTAAAAGTAAATCCTGTTAATATTTAACTAATTTATTGTGATATTGTTAGGTCAATACATTTGAAGAATTTAGCGAATCATTATTAAACGATCAATGCAACATTATATATGAATTAGTAAACTGTCTTAAAAAATACTATGATGATGATGACATTTTCAAGGTAAGGTAAAACTTTTCAAATATTATTTTGTTGAAAAAGATTGTAAAAATACCGTATGTATAGATAGTTACTAAGTAAACATTTAGTTTTTGAAAATGACTATTAGTTTACCTATTAGTTTACCATTGTTCGTAGGAGTTAAAAATATAGTTTGTAGGAGTCAACACTATCTTTTGTAGAAGTAGACACTATCTTTTGTAGGAGTTTACCATTCCCCAAACATATACACATTCAGTATATTATTGTAATAGGTACCTTGATCTAGGTGTTAGGTAACCACCCTCCAAACCCATTTGTAATATGCCACTGCTGTATATTGTCTCTTTTTTATAAAAGTGAATTAATTTTAACACTACCTATAGATAAGTACCAACCCAATCAAAATTATGAATAAAAATACATAATAAATAATTTTGAAACAGTTATTAATAGTATTTTGAGTTATGCTTTAGTTGTTGGATGTGAAATCGTCAGATCAAAACGATCAAAGCAGTTACCTAAAATACATTTATATAACTATGAAAAAAATAGGTGCATCTATTGCGTTCAGCTCATGTGCGGAAACAGTTGAAGATAAACCGATTGATTGTTGTGTAAGTTAAACGAGTTTGGTAAATTGTTAATAATTATTATTTATTATTAAATATTCTTTAAGTGAATAATTATTGAACAAATATGCATCACTCACTCGTGCTCACTGCACGTTTGAGCACAAATATTTAAATCTAATAATATAATATTCAATTGACTAAAAATTTCTTTAAAATTATTACCTATAAATATAGTACTTATTGTTTTGTCTTTAAACAATTTACTAAATACTAAATAATTATATAAAATAAGATATTGTAAGTTCTATAATCTCATAAATTATATCTATACATTTATTATATAATATTTACCCGATGAATCTATGACTTTAACGTTTTGAAATATTAACATGTATTATTAGATATTGAATATTTTAAAATTGTATTTTAGCCAAAAGCTAGTCACAATTCAGCAGGAGATTTGACAGTAAATAAACTCAAAAACCGAACGATTTGCAAGGTAATAAAATCTCATGTTTATTATAAATTTAAATTCAAATTAGTATACCTACATTTTTTCGGGAGCTGGTTGAAACGTCGACGGGTCATTATATCGACAAGTACAAAAATTCGACAGGTCAATATATCGAAAAATTACAATGTCGATTAAATATATATATACAATGTTGGATATAAATAAAATAAATGTATATAATGTCATATTGTAAGCAATTCCTCTTAAAAACTCTATAACTGGAACGTTTCCGTGATTTCCTATCATGTTTTGGATTCTATCCTCTCGTTACTATTTATTTTATCGTTATCTGAGTATACAAAACTATTACAGAGTATCCAAAAAAATACCGTTAATTTTACCTCAACGTTAAACTATAAAATGTAATCTTTTTTTTTCGATAATTTGTACTCATCGATATATTGACCTGTCGACATTTTACTTGTCCATATAAATGACCAGCCACATTTTGTACTTGTCGATGTTTCGACCGTTGACATTTTAACTTATCGATATCTTGATTGTCGATGTTTTGTAGCAGACCCTTATTAGTATTTGTATATGGACTAGGATTGTCTTAAATTGAAAATGTTTCTTTTTACTTTGGCAGTTTTGTTTTTGTCATCAAACATTTGATTGTGAAAGGGTACCGATATATGCAATAACCTTGTATATTTCAACCATGATAAACATGTTGCTTTAGCACAATTATTGAGATACGAAAAAAATTGAATCTGTCAATAATTGTGCTAAAGCCGCATCCCGTATGGCCGTATGTATATCATGGTTGAAATATATAAGGTTATTGCATGTATACCCCTTCTCAACCAAATGTTTGATGACAAAAACAAAACTGCGAAAATAAAGAGGGGCATTTTCATGTTAAGAACAATCTTAGTTAATAACCTGTATATTGTATAATATATAAATAAAGCAATAAACTATAAAGCATTATTTAAAAATGCATACAATTTACAATAATAAATAAGATATAAATATTTAATATTTAACTCTTAACTAATAACTTTAATGTTTTAATCGATTTAT